TTCTCTCCTGCTGTTTCACCTGCATCTATGGCCGGCATCCTCAGAGGTTGTGAGGTCTGTTGAAACTAGGAAAATTGGGTTTATATATCTGTTGAAGGTCCAGGGTGGGAGAAAGAACTCTTGTCTGTTGGAGCTAGGTGTGAATGTTTCAATGGGTCACCTTGATTAAGCATTTGATGGCCTGACAGTTGGACCACTCAAACAACTGCTATGTCAGGCTGCACAGAGAGGCCATTGAAATTCACAAGCATATGGATAATAATAATAACAACAATAATAATATTTATTTGTACCCCACCACCATCTCCCCAAAGGGGACTCGGGGTGGCTAACATGAGGACAAGCCCAAAGATACAATATAACAAAATAAAATACAGAATGCAGACAACAACAAAAATTACATCAAAGTAAAATACGTACAGTAGCAAAATAAAATAAATAAAACAAATTAACAAATTAAAATCGAACAAAATGGGCAGGCCAAATGGACGAGGTAAAATGATAAATCCCTGGATGAGGTAGGAAAAAAAATATGCAGTTGGGAGGAACCCAAAAAGAATAAACAGTGGGCTAGGCTTTCAGTTTAAGATGGGAGAAAGTGCATTATAGGGGCAACATTATAGATAGAGCAAGCAGAAATGGGATAAATAGTCACTCTCCAAAGGCACATGTTTTCCATTTTTTCTTGAAGGCAAGGTGGGAGCTTGCCTAATCTCACCAGGTAATGAGTTCCAAAGTCAGGGGGCCACAGTGGAGAAGGCGTTCTTCCTCATTCCCACAAGTCTTGCCTGTGATAAAGGAAGAGGTGAAAGAAGGGCCTCCCCACAAGATCGGAGGGATCGTGCAGGTGGGTGGTAGAAGATGCGGTCACGAAGGTAGGCAGGTCCCAAACCATTTAGGGCTTTATAGGTAATTTATTTATTTTATTTATTTATCGTATCATCAGCAATCAGACCATTGTTACGGGTAATAACCTGCACTTTGAATTGGGATTGAAAAATGAACGACAGCCAGTGGAGCTCCTTAAACAGGGGGGTTGACCGCTCCCTGTAATTCGCTCCAGTTATTAATCTAGCTGCTGAACGTTGGACCAATTGAAGTCTCCGGACCGTCTTCAAGGGAAGCCCCACAATTTCAACAGGAAGGAAGAAACCATGAAAATGAACAAAATCTGGCTACCAGTATTTAAAAAACTCTAAAATTATCACAGTAAATAAACAACAAAATTCAAATACAGGGGAATTCCTGACAAGAACCAATCAGGAACACCTAATCACCTCTCAACAAAGGATTCTCCCAAGCTGTAACAAACCACACCTTAAAACTGTCAGGCCACCAAATGCTAATCAAGGTGGCCAATTGAAACATTCACACCTAGTTCCAACAAACAAAAGTTCTTTCTCCCACCCTGGCCTTTCCAGAGATATATAAACCCAATTTTCCTAGTTTCCAACAGACCTCACAACGGGTTGTTGTAGGTTTTTTCAGGCTATATGGCCATGTTCTAAAGGCATTTTCTCCTGACGTTTCGCCTGCATCTATGGCAAGCATCCTCAGAGGTAGTGAGGTCTGTTGGAAATAGGAAAAAGGGTTTATATATCTGTGGAATGACCAGGGTGGGACAAAGGACTCTTGTCTGCTAGAGCTAGGTGTGAATGTTTCAGCTGACCACCTTGATTAGCATTTGATGGGGACGAGGGACAGGGCCTTCTCGGTGGTGGCCCCTCGACTCTGAAACTCTCTCCCACTGGAGATCAGAACTGCGCCCTCCATTCTGTCGTTCAGAAAGTGGGTGAAAACCTGGCTATGGGGTTTGGCTTTCGACGAGTGAATCAATATTTCTGTGATCGGATGAATGACGGACAACGAATTCACTATGACGACTGACCATTGTTATTATGTGATTGCATTTTGCTGTTATAACGTTTTAATTGAATATGTTATATGATGTTTTTAATTATTGTTTTGTGATTTTATTGTTGGAAACCGGCCCGAGTCCCCCGATAGAGGGGAGAAGACTGGTATACAAAATTGCTAAATAAATAAAAATAAATAAATTGATTAGCACGATGCCTGCCAGAGATGCAGGTGAAACGTCAGGAGAGAATGCTTCTAGAACATGGCCATGCAGCTCGAAAAACCTACAACAACCCATAGTAAAGCTTTTTTTTTGTCTGAATGTGCATGCTTTTCTGTTTGTTTAAATGGAAAATCATTTGACAAAGTGGCAAGGCAACCACCTTGCAAAGGCGTACTTGGAAATTACATTTGAACTTGGAGTAACTACTGGGAGGCAGTAAACCAGAGCACAAGATAACACCCCAAACAAGAATAGACAAATAAAGGGAAGGGATTAAAAGGACAACTTAATCTATCCAGTAAATTGAATGCCAATATATGGAATGTAAGGAGTCAGAAACTTGTTTAAGATAAAGAATTTATAAGCTTAAAGGAAGATTATTTATTTTTTCATTTACAGATTGAGCCAGAGATGAGGGGGAAAAAAGAAGAAAGGAAGGAAATAATAAGAGACACTAATCCAGGGCTACATATTGTGCTGTTTTTGCCCTGCCATTTTAAAGGGCCTTTCCACAGAATGCCGCACAAGTCCTTGACATTTTAATGTTGTTCTGAGCTTCAGCGTTGCCGGCTATTTGTGGAGTCCTTTCAATATCTCATTTTGTCCTTTTGTGGTTTTGAAGTTTAGTCGCCTCTGCTGCTCTTCTCAAGAGCATATGATTCTAAATCACAAAGTCAAAATTGGACCTGCAAATCATTACCTAATTTGTGGCTAGTCGTTGGTAAACTCTGCTGGGAAGAGATGATATGCTGCCCATGACTTGTGCTTTCTCAGAATAGATAAATCAACTATCATGCTCCTTACCTTCTCAAGGCTGCCAATGAATTGTTTATTCGTGTGGCAGTATTTAAAGCCTGCGTGCACACTATACAATTGGATCATTTTGATACCACTTTGATGGCTATTCTTCTATCCTAAAGAGTCCTGGGATTTGTAGTTTGAAGAGGCACTAAAGACTCTCCAGCAAGAAATTGTATATATCTCAACAAACTACAAATACAAAGACTTGGTAGAATGGAGCTAGCACAGTTAAAATGATAACTTCTTCAAACTATATCTGTGCTATAAAGAGATATCAGTGTTAATTGGTTTAAGTGGGAATCCCAGTGGTGCAATGGGTTAAATCTTTGTGCCGGCAGGTCTGCTGACCAAAAGATTGGTGGTTCGAATCTGGGGAGTGGAGTGAGCTCCCATCTGTCAGTTCCAGCTTCTCATGCGTGGACATAAGAGAAGCCTCCCACAGGAGGGTAAAAGCCCTGGGCAACATCATAGAATCATAGAATCAAAGAGTTGGAAGAGACCTCAAGGGCCATCCAGTCCAACCCCCTGCCAAGAAACAGGAATATTGCAAAGCTTCCAAAAAAGGAGCCTCCACCACACTCTGTCCTTGAAGACAGCCAATTTTCTCACACCAGAAGCGACTTGCAGTTTTTCAAGTCACTCCTGTCATGAAAAAAAATGGTTTAAGTATAACAAGAAAAGAAGGGAAAAGATTTAGTGGTAGGTTTAAGATTCCCGATTTTATTTCAGCATGAGATTTCATGGGCTACAATCCATGCCTGCAGATGTGAGAGTCTCACTGTCATGGATGAAAAATATGGGTTCTTTGACAGGACTCTCATCTTCGTGAAAGACAGCTGCTGATGGCTGATGGTTAAGCTGATATGCAGGCATTTGGTAATCTTAAAGGTGATACAAGACTCTTATTTCTCTTTTTGCTTCCCTTTTTTATTTAGATAAGTCTCAGAAATGTGACTGATTCTTATTAAGAGGTCAGAAGTTTGTAAGAGTTGGCATTTCAGATTAATGCAAAAGAAATCTGAATTAATCTTTTCCCCCACTGTATTAGAACAAACCTTACATTGTGCTGTTGCAGTTGATGAAGGTTGAGCCCCTGGTGGTGTAATGGGTTAAACCCTTGTGCCAGCAGGACTGCTGACCAACAGAGGAGAGCGGGTTGAGCTCCCTCTGTCAGCTCCAGCTCCCCATGCAGGGACATGAGAGAAGCCTCCCACAAAGATGGTAAAACATCAAACTGCCGACCTGAAAGTTGGGTTGCTGACCTGAAGGTTGCCAGTTCGAATCTGCAAGATGGAGGGAGCTCCCATCTGTGAGCTCTAGCTTGCGAGGGCATGAGAGAAGCCTCCCAACAGGATGGTAACACATCCGGGCGTCCCCTGGACAACATCTGCAGACGGCCAATTCTCTCATACCAGAAGTGACTTGCAGTTTCTCAAGTTTCTCAAGTCACTCCTAACACAAAAATAATGGATGAAAGTAGAACAGTGGTAAGTTGAAATTAGTACTTGGTCGACTACATTGACTCATAGATGATCTTGGAGGGCCATACTTGCTTCAATACTTTCCATCACATTATCACCCCTAAAAAAATTATTTAGCAAATTTAAGGGAACGAAGGATCATGAATGGTCTTGAAGGCCACATATGACTCATGGGCAGCACTTTCCTCTTTTCTTCAATACAGAGTTATTAATAGAAAATTTGATTTTTAATATATCTTTTTGATGTGTCATCTCACACATTTCTTCAGAAGGAAGTCCCACTGTTTCAGGCAGGTTTTACAGACATACAACCATAGCTTTAAATAATGTGTAATAGATGTAAATGAGTCAATGCAATGATGAAAAAAGGTGCTTTATCTGGATTGAGGGAGATATGGGTTCAAATACTCATTTAGCCATAGCACTCAACTTGGCTAGGCCAATACCTTACAGATAGTTCTCCCTCCCTCTCTCTTCTATTTGGTCATAGAATATGTTTTGTTCTAGGATTTTTCCCCTGAAACTCTTTAAAGAAGAGGAGGATAACTATTTAGCAAATGCATAATATATATATTTTAAAATGTCTATACAAGTTTTGTTAGTTGTTCTTTTAGTAATGGGCATATGTCTTTTGGCAGGGGAAGAGATGGATGGAAGGAGCAGTGCCTTGGAATGGGGTAGGTTTGGAAGAATAACTCTATATATATTTATTCTTTTGAAGATCAGAATCGAGACAGGTTTCAGGAACCTATGGAGACCCAGATGACCAACCTCAGAACAGTTTCTCTCTGCTTCCCTCCGGGTTGGTTCATATGCAGAAGCAGTGCATGTCTTTCTGGGTATGTGCTTCATTTTAGTCTACTCAACTAAGAAGTGGAGCTGTCCAGTTGTCAGTTTATCTGATGCCCTCAGCAGGAGAGAAGTTTTTCAGAAGATCACCAGAGAAGGTGGCATGGATTTATGGATGTTACAGTTAGCCCTCCGCATTTGGAGTTTAACTTCTGTGGATTTGGTTAGTCATGGATTTGATAAATATGGACACTATAGGAAAATATGAAGTGGATACCTTAAAGCAGTGGTTCTCAACCTGTGGGTCCCTCCCCAGGTGTTTTGGCCTAATACTCCCAGAAATCCCAACCAGTTTACCAGCTGTTAGGATTTCAGGGAGTTGAAGTCCAAAAAATCTGGGGACGCACAGGTTGAGAACCACTGCCCTACCTCCTCTAATGGTCTCTATGGTCAACTTTTGCCAGAATTTGATCATAGAATTGTGCTGGTGGAATAAGCAATTACTAAGAGAACACATCTCTAGAATTTTTAGGCACTCCAGCACAATTCCATCTTTGACTTCTGCAGATGTTGACCATTGTGTTGCCCTGGAGGAGATAAAAATTTGTCTGATTTCACAGGGCCCTTGTACTCCTGACCCCAGCAAATGGGGTAGGTTGACTGTAGTAGCTTTTAGGTGGTAGAAGACATTGCCATAGCCTGCATATTTCTGGTCCATGTTGGAACTTTAGGTCTTTTCCAGTCCTAGACTAACTCTACTCACTTAGGTTGGCCATTAGCTCCATCTGGGCATATAGTGGTCTTCCTGTTTTATCTTATGTGTCCCTGTTTATTCCAGGGTTCTGCATTCAGAGTTAATCTTTAGTAGTACTGCAGACATGACCCACTGCTTTTGCATCCCAGGTTATGGGTCACTTCTGACTACTGTTTACAACATAGCTTTGGCCCTGATCTTGACCTTATGTCTGCTCACATACTCTTGCTCTGAATAGGAGATGGAAGGTGTGTGCCTTGTGTTGTCAAGTGAGTGCCACACAACTGAGATCTGACTTCAGGTTGGGCTTACTCCTTGATTTGTTGTTATTTGTGTGATACAGACAGAGAAACAAAGAAAGTCAAGGGAAAATAAGATGACCTTGAAAATAAATTCTTGTTTGATGCCAGGGAAGGAAAGTGGCAGGTCCTGACACCATTACAGTTGTATTTCCACATTTGCAGATTTGACTTTTGCAAATTTTAATATTTGTTGATTTGATTAATATAGTCTCCCCATGAATCTCTAAGGCCAACACTGCAACTCAGTGGTTAAATTCCACTGGAAATTCATTATAGAGATGCATTGATGATCCTAGAGATTTCTAGAAAGGTAGTATTTTTAAAATTCTGTGCCCCAACCCTAGCAGTTGTGGAGGGTTGACACACTGAGCTCACAAATAGTGAGAGTGCCTCTCAGTTTCTGCTGAAATGGGGCAGAGGGTTGGGATTGTGTGTGTGTGTGGGGGGGGGCATTGTTGAATATTGAGCGTTTTGGGGCCTTTGATTGTTGATGCAACCCATCTCACTGGAAATTGTCTGGACAATGAGCAAGGACATGCAGAATCAGCATCTCCAGTAATGATATTTTATATCAGGAATGGCATATGAATGTTTTCCTCTGCTATATTGAGAAACATGGAAATAGTAGCTCATTATTATCTGAAGGGTCACAGGTTTCTCAGTCCCTGGTTTAGTTGTGTTTTTGATGTGTTAGTGCATGTCTATTGATCACCATAGTTTCACCATAATAACAGATCATGACCATTTTAATTATGTGAATATGTTTGTGAGGGGCTCAGGGTAGAGAATGAGCAATACGTAGACTGTATGAATGGTAAACCAAGAGGTATGAATTCTGTGCTGAAAGCTCTAAAGAATTTTTGGCTTTGTCCACCTGTCTGTATGCATTAGGGAAACTAGGTGTAGAAAAGCAGCTTTATGTATGCAGAGAAATGTGAATGGAAAGAGCTTATCAATGAAAGTAGGAGAGAAATTAATCCCTCCTTAGCTTTGAAAAAAGCAGAGGGCCAGTGAAAGGTCAGCATATGCATTGACAGCAATAGAAAAGAATCCATTCTATGTACTTTTACAGCAGCCAACAATCCGATAAGATTTGCGAAGATATATTTTTGAAAGCAAAATAACTAATATTGATTCACAGGGTATAAATATCACACACAGAAACACACAGAAACACAGTTTGTTGTTTGCTGTTAAGTCATTTATGACTTATAGTGGCTCTAAGGCGATCCTATTGTGGTTGTTTCTGAAGCTGAGACAGTGTCACTTGCACAAGGTCAAATAGTGAGTTTCCATGGCTCAATAAAGATTCAAATTCTGGTGCCCAGAGTCATCGTCCAACACTCAAACTATTAGACTCATAGGGCTGGAATAGAGCAAATGGGCAATCCAGTGTCTCTCTTTCACACATACATCCTTTTTAGGCTTCATGTCTGAAGTTGCATGGTGTTGTATTTTCATGTGGATGCCAATGGGATTATATTGTTCATGTGGCTGCGAATGGGATTATATTGTTTATATTATAATTATAATTTTGCACATGGTTTCAATTGGGATTGCTTTAGGCATATTTTAATTCTTTTATCCTTGGCTGAGTGAGACAGATCAGCAGCATATCAGTAAAGGAGTTGATGGGCCACTGATATCTTGGCTATGGTTTGGTGAAGAATTTGAGAACATTGTATTGTCGAAGGCTTTCATGGCTGGAATCACTCAGTTCTTGTGGGTTTTTTCGGGCTATATGGCCATGTTCTAGAGGCATTTCTCCTGACGTTTCGCCTGCATCTATGGCAAGCATCCTCAGAGGTGAGGTCTGCTGGAGCTGGGAAAAAAGGGGTTTATATATCTGTGGAATGACCAGGGTGAGACAAAGGGTTTTTGTAAGTTGGGCTAGGTGTGAATCTTTCAACTGACCACCTTGATTAGCATACAATGGGCTGACTGTGCCTGGAGCAAACTCTTCTTGAAAGGTGATTAGATGTCCCTGCAATTTCAACAGAAAGGAAGAAACCATGAAAATGAACAAAATATGGCTACCAGTATTAAAAAAATTCTAAAATTGCAACAGCAAAAACAGCAGAGAGAAAAACAGGCAGGGACATCTAATCACCTTTCAAGAAGAGTTTGCTCCAGGCACAGTCAGCCCATTGTATGCTAATCAAGGTGGTCAGTTGAAAGATTCACACCTAGCCCAACTTACAAAAGTCCTTTGTCTCACCCTGGTCATTCCACAGATATATAAACCCTTTTTCCCAGTTCCAGCAGACCTCACCTCTGAGGATGCTTGCCATAGATGCAGGCGAAACGTCAGGAGAAATGCCTCTAGAACATGGCCATATAGCCCGAAAAAACCCCCAAGAACTGAATTTGAGAACACTTTGGACTTCCATACTGGACAGCCCATTAATGTCTGTCTTCTTGCCAGTTTCAACATCAACACTTAGCATCCTTGGCCTACAAACTAGATTAACTGGGTGTTGATGACTTCACCTTACTTCCTATTAAAATTGTTCGTTGCTTGGAATAATGCAGTTTCAAATTTGCATAATGCCCAAATTTAATGTTCTATCAGAGGCATTCTAGTAATTTGAAATGGTTGGAAGATCAGACAAATTGGTGGTGGTCCACTGAGATGACCTTTTAGTCCAATGATCTTCAAATTTGGATCTGGCCCCTCTGTTAAGATCAAAGGCCCTGCTATGCTTTTGCATATGCTCTGTCATAGTGGATAATGAGATGTGTCTCACAGCTGGTGATGCTGGGAAATGGAGTTGCTTATCATCCATAGCTCTGGATAATGAAAAACGTTATGGGGAGTAAAACAATCTGTGAACTCAAAGGCTATTCCTTCGAGAAAACTGGTATGAAAGAGGAGAAAAACTTAGTCTGGGAAGACATTTGGGTTGTTGGTGAATGGGATAAAAGCCTGTGAAAATATTTGAACTGCTATGTGCTATAAGTATGCCATGTAATTGAAAGACTTCAGTCCTGACAACAATGGAGTACTATGATCAACTCTGTTTTTGGATAAAGCTGTCTGAATCTGCTGAAAGCTTGTAGTTTTGGACTGGAATTAACCAAGGCATTGCATTTTCCTTGCATTCTTTCGCGTGTCAAGTCAAGATGCATCTACGGTGTCAACTTAATGCAGTTTGATACCACTTTAATTGCCATGGCTCAGTGGCATGGAATTGTGGGATTTGTAGTTTGTCGAGGCACTGGCATTCCATGGTAGAGAACGCTAAAGACTTTATACAATAACAGCTCCCATGATTCCATAACATTCAATCACAGCAGTTAAAGCAGTGTCAAGCTGCATTAACTCTGTAGTGTAGATGCACCCTAAAATGAAGGAAAGTAGTGCTGCTCATACGTGTGTGAAGCTATTTACAGGTTCTATATTTTTAAAACTCCACAGCTCCTCTGTTCATGTTTTTGGGGCTTTTTTTAAACAAGGAGCTGCTAAACCTCACTATGGCGACAGAAATTGATTAACAATATTATGAATTTTACCCAGCAGCCATAATCATTGGTTGCTGTAGCAACCTGCATGCTGAGATCAGAGGGCACATTACAAACATATGTGTGTTGAGATTCAAATACTATTCTGGTTTGGGATACTGCAACACACACACACACACATGCACATAAAGCACAGTCTAGGTCACCTCCTTGAAGTGAAAAGCAGTCTTGGGACATCAAAGTACCTGATCTTGTGCTTCTCCATACAGTCTCTACCCATTCCCCATTCCCCTTAATTAGGTTCAGTACACGAGGCTGGTCCTTTGAGTTAGGAGGTCAGCAAATTTGAGGTCTCCTCATGAAAAAGAGC